TCCAAAATATCCTTTTGGTTTGGATGCCGAATATAATAAAGGAGTTCGCCAGAAGAAAAGCTTGACCTCTACAAAAACCAGTCCAAAGTAGACCATGCCTCAGTTTTACACTCTTAGTACTTCGTCGACAACACACCTACTTATGTAGAACCAAGTTATTATTTACTTTAGCGTCTCCTATAGCGCTGACTATAGTTTGGTTTCTTGATTTTTTGTTGACCAGATGATCATCGGGAAGAGTTGATGAATAGAAATGTGTTATAGAATTTGATTATTTTATTATTTTATTATTTTATTTTCTAATTCAGCATTTCACTTTTATTTATTTTAAAACTAAATTATTTAAAAATTATAATAATTTTATTACTAGACTATAGTAAATACAACTAAAACAAAGGCTTGTTCATATGCTTTTATGCATCAGATACAATCTACCTCAATGGCTCTTGACTTCCCTCTAGGTCCTTAATTTAATAAGAATTTTTTTTTGTTATTTATCAACTGGTAGTTACACTGCTATATTAAGAAACAAAATAAAAAAAACTGACTAAAAAAATCACAAAGGTATAGAGGATTATAATAAAATTATACAAATAAAAAGAGAAAGAAGAAAGAAAAATATGAGAAGAAACAAAAATAGAATAATTTTGTCTATTCTAATGCTACTATTATAAGCCTATAAATAGTCTAAAAAATTATATACTATTAGACAAAATACTTTTTATTTCTATATTTATTTACTTATTATATTAAAGCAAAATCATTTAGAAAAAACCTTTTTATTGACTGGTATAAATATAGAGAGGTTAGAGCAAAGTTTCAGGATATTGTTTATACAAAAATTTATTGTATTTAAAGTATATGTATATACATGTTTGTTGTTACATTCCAATTTGAGAGATAAATAATATTAAATATAATGTTAATTATTTGAAGAGAGTAAGCTGAGACACACACTTTTATAAAAATTTCCTTAAAAAAATGTTATGGGTTAACAAAAGTATGTAAAGTTCTTCTTGTAAGATTATAATTATATAATCTAGCTTCTTTGTTTTTACTAACTTAGAAGTGCATATTAGCTACTTATACAGACTTGTTCCTAGAATAAACCTGCTAATTTGATGCCAAATACTTTAGAAAGTCTGCTCAAGAAAAAACTTAACTCCAAAAAAAACTGTCTGTTCTTTTGATGCCCACTCCTCAATGTATCATGTCTAGACACTTAGACTTCATTGACAACAAACTGCTCCTGCTTATAGGACCAAGTTTGGTATCTACTTTGTTGCTTTTCTATATGTTTTACTGTATATAGTTTGGTTTTTGTTGTTGTTGACTAAAAGATCATCAGAGTGAGTTAAAAACTTATTTCTTGTTTATTATTTTATTATTTTATTTTATTATTTTATTAGATATTCAATATGAAATTACATCTATATGACCTAATATAGAAGTATGCGTACACTAATACAAGCCCCGACCTTACTTGGCTGCCTCTATATAGGTGCCCAAATATGATCCGCCGCATTAGGCTGACTTTTATGACTAGCCTCACTAACTTACACAGTGCTGGAAACCAAGCCATCAACCTAGAAGCTTTTTCTAAACAAAGCTCTTATATAGTTCATATATGCCCTATTCATATTGTTTTGTTATCAAAAAACATTTGCGTTTAATTAGATCACTGGTCACTAATATTCTCTTTATTAAAATAAACATATGATTAATTCTCGAAGAGGATGAGCACATTTAACTGACTGCCACTTCTAATCGGTACCGCCACTCGATCGTCTGGATCAATGAATCGGACTAATCGATTTATTGAATATCAAAATATAGTTTGGATATAATTGCGTAGCTACCTTATTACAAGATCAAAGCATAACGATAAAAACAACTAATCGATTAGTCAACAAATCGCTAATTAACCAATCGATTACAGCTGTTCTCATAAATTCTGGGACAACGATAAAAATTTACCGATGATCATTTGGCAAGTTTTTAAAATTCAGTGTTTTCGGAATTACTATAATGCTGAAAATCCGAATTCGGCCGAAATAATTTTTATCAGTTGTCACAGAACAGCTGTAATCATCACAATCGATTTGTAAAATCACCAATCGATAGTTATCAACTTGACCAACTAACGCTAATCGATTAATCGATTTTCGATTTGGAACACTAATTACTATATACCTGGGAAAAAAACCATAAATTATTTCCGTGCTAGAACCATAATAGTGATCTACGTTCGTTCACGCCTTTCTGTAATACTAGTTACTGGTTTCAGATTTCTTGTTATTTTTCCTATTTTTCCTTAATGAACAAGCGGACTTTGTATATCCGACGCATGCAGATTATTTAATATTATGTAGAACGATGTATCTTTATTCTCGAACTTAAGATTTGCATAGAACATAATTCTAAACGATGTATCTTTATTCTCGAACTTAAGATTTGCATAGAACATAATTCTAAACGATGCATCTTTATTCTCGAACTTAAGATTTGCATAGAACATAATTCTAAACGATGTTAACCCTAACTCCGATTGGACTGTCACGGAAATGGTTGTTGGAAACTAAACTACGATAATAAACAAAATTTTATAAAAGGGGAGCATGAGTTTCTGGATTTTTTTTAAGAAAATTTTAAAAATTCAGATATTTATTTCATTTATTTATTTTTTTGAACTATGGATAAATATTCAGTAATTGAATATTCTGAACTACCTAATTTGCAATTTAAAGAAGGTTCACATATTATATTATATCATATTCGACAACTTTTAAAACTTTTAAAGATTGAATCTTTTTCTTACTTTATTAAGAAACAAGATAACAACCATAATACATTGGCTGTTCATATTTTTCATAAAAAACCTATTTGTGTCAAGGAAAATTTTTTTAACCTTTCTTTTGATGGATATGATGTGGATTGTCACGAAAAAGTTAATATAACCATTCCATCTCTTAGAAAACAAGGATATGACGTGGACTGTCATGAAGAAATTAATATATACATTCCATCTCTTAGAAATTTTAAAGACTATTTAAGAACAACTGATGCAAATTTATATATGACTAATTTAAGCGACTTGAAGGAGATTTTTCATAAAAGGTTTTTTATAGTAGAAGACAAATCATTTTCCGAAAAAAGACTTGATTTAATCAAAATGATTGGTAATAAATATACTATTGAAGACAATTATACAAGAATGGTGATTTGAAACGACCTATAAGGGAGTTAATTGATGATGATAAAGAGTTAGATTATGAAAATCGTGCTTCGTTTAAAAGAAAAAAAGAATCAAAAACAATGGCACGAATCAATGAACAGGAAAATAATCAAGTTGAGGTAAATTTAGAAAATGCTAAATTGAAAAAGGAGTTAGAAGAATGTAAACAGATTATAAGGAAGTTCAGTGAACAAAATGCGGAACTCATATGTAAAAATAAACTATTGGAAGATGAGTTAAGTGTTCTTGAACCAAGGGATTCCAATTATCAGAAAGGACATCAGTTCGAAACTACTATTTCGAAAATACTTAATGATAACGGAATTCGAACTAATAAGATTTGTCTTCGTCGTGGAGATGGTGGATTGGATATTATTGCTACATTTAAAGGTCAAATTATTATTATTCAGTGCAAGAATTGGGAGCGTCCTATTGGTGTTCGTGACTTGAGGGATTTCGAGGCTTCTATTGATCCTTTTGTTGAAAATAATGTATTATTTTTTATGGTTTATAATAGCAAAAAGCTTAACCATCCTTTGACAAAAGAAGCGAAAGTTTGGAATGAAACATCCCGTTTTGACGTCAAGTTTACGAATGAACGAGAGATTGTTAATTGTATTAAGAATGTGAATCAAGATAACCAATATGGTATTAAAAAATATTTGGTTAGCAGGGTTGCCCAATAGGATATTCTTGAATAGTGCAATAAAGCATAAATTATTTAATAGATAACTCAATAATAATTATATATAGTTTAAGATTAAACATTCTCAATAGAGCAATGGAAATAGAAATAGAATAAGCGAATTTTCCAATAGAGCAATAGAATGACATCTTACTCACGTGAAGGTTGAAATATTTGTTCGAAAGACTATTACTATCACTACATGTCGAGCATAGTGAATTAATTAGCTAACCCAATAACTTTTTATATTTTCTATTTTTTTTCACCTCCCTTTTGTTTATTTTATTTATTACATAAATTTATAGACATGCTGTATATTATTTCATACATTCTATGTATACTGTATATATTGTGAAGCACGAGACTATCATTACTTGAGAATAATTTATATCATTATATAATACATAAATAAACTGTTGCATTACGAGTTAAATTCAGAAATGTTAATATGAAATTTTATGATTTTGAGGTGAAGTTCTTTTAGAATTAGATTAGGGTTTAGAGTTGTTAATATGTATTCGTAGATTTTAGTAGGGCATATATTTTCAACCCCAAATCTCAGAATCAACGACTAATTTTTATGCAAGAATCGTAGTTTTGGGTAAAAATTTTCTTATTCATCCTAGTCATCACGCAAAGGTGTATCCTACGACTAGATTTATAACAACCTGAAGTTATATCCTATAAGGACGAGCATACAGAAATTCGGAAAGCTTTGTATAGATGTTGAAAAAAAACTATACTAATAAAACTTTTCACCATTCAGATTCAGTGTGCTGGTCATTGTCTTTGCAGCAAGAAACGCCAAGTTTTCCGAGTCTGGTTGGTACTGTAATTTATCATAAATGATGAAGAGATATCGATGCTCGCAATTTTTTTTTTAATAAACAAACTTAAAATCGAATTGTCAAATAACAAATGATAGATGATAAAGAAGTTAAAATTTCAAAAGCTAATATGTGTGAGGAATCGTTCATATGGATTATATGGATTGCATAGATTATATAGATTTATTAGTAACTAAGAACATTTCAAGAATAAAAAGACAATGCGGTATGAAACTTCATACTTAGGTGATGATTAATGTAAAAGTATAACTTTAATTGTAAGCCAATAATTAGCGTAATATTAATTTTTGTTCAATAACGATAGATAATACTCTAAATAATTATCTTCGATTTTTTTCATGCGATAATAACTACCCTTCTAATGTTACTAATGTCCACATTCATAAAATTAGAAAAAGAAAAAAACAAATTTTACGAAAGTAAAAAAAATTCTTTTTATTTTCCGAGTGTTGAATATTTCAGTATCTCATTTTTATCCAATAAACTACTTCCAACAATTCTCAAATCATAATAAGTTGGTTCTGGTTCAAATTTGAATCGTTTATCCAGACACCATCGTAATTCCGGTATGAGACTTTTAATATGTGTTTCTATATGTTTAGAAAACATGTCTAAGATATAATAACCGCTACTAATATAAGGTCTAAGTAATCTATCTATTTGTGGTTGAGAATGAATTTGAATTGGAATATTTTTTGAAACATCTTTCATGTTATGAATAGGTAAACGATCATAAAATTTTACATGAAAAATTGTTTGAAAATCTTGTCTTGCGATACATATCGCTTCCCCTAACGCTGCCACAAATCCATCTAATTTTATTGCTAAGGACTTTGGATTGTCAACATTTTTTAAACCAATGTCTTTAGAAACCGGAATTTGGAAATAATCTATTTCCTTGTTCAATTCTTGTCGAGATACTTGTGTACAACAACATGTTTGCATCGTATCATCATTTGGCCAAATAATTTCACCAGTTCGATAAAATTCTAAAATGTAATGAAATGCTCGTCCATTACGATCGATAAAGTATTCATTATCATTTGTTGGATGTAATAATGTATGATTTCTTGCCTGGAACATCGTTCCAAGCAATGTTTCTGGATACGCAGTCAGAGTTGAACGATATGTTTCGTACTAAAATTTTTTAGATGAATTAAAAGTTTAATTTAAAAAAAAATAGGAATTAAGATTAAACACAATTCTAGACAATTTTTTACTTTATTATTACCTTAATTCCTCCAACATTCAAAATAATACGTTCGTTACGCAATGAAACTTCTGTCATTTTTTTTTTTTTTTTTTTGATAAAATTCGAATTTTTTTTTTGTATCAAATCAAAAACAAAAAATTTTGGTTTTTAAATGGCATGTTTCAAGAATAAAATCGGTACCGCCCGCATTTTATTTCCGATGCACATTACATAAATCATTGTTTTCTAGTTGGGGAATTAGATATATTTTCACTTTGTTTGATCAGGCAAAGTTATGGATATGGCTAACGATGAACAATAAGTCCTGTTGTCAATCATCTTAATTGGGAAGTATATCAGATTATCACAAATGCATACAATTACGTACAATTACTTGACATTGGAATTTTGTCCAATCAAATTTAACCATTACAAAATCGCAATTTTAAAATAGTACGTGCGTACAGTTTCAAACATCAATTCTTTGATGGATGATCAAGCCTCCGTTCAAATAAAGGGTTTTTAAATTAACCTAGCGCCAGCATAGCTATGGCCGATGTGGTCTCTCGGTCTTTCGGTCATGCTGACTATTGTGAAAAAAAAAATTAAAATTGTGGCTGAATTTGTGGCACAGTAGAAGTGGTTAATTCTCAATTCATGAATAATTGAAAAAACAAAATTAATATCATATGAATGTTATGAACAGTGTTGGCAAATGACAATATCATATGACATATGATATAAAATCATGTCATATAAATATTATATGACACATCATATGATATTGTGATATGACAATTCATACAGTAAGTCATATGTTCGTGTTTGTGTGTAGATCGAGGCAGGTGTGTAAACCCCACACTACTCTCAAATTAAAGAGTAATGGTATATAGATATTTGGCACAGAGATATTATTGGCCATAAAAAAAAAAAAAAAAGGAAAAGGAAAACGAGCGCGAGTCATAAGACATCATCGTCCAACACTGGTATGAACGAAGACATTTGTTCGGGCTACAATCTATCCAGATTTTCTTTTTCTTTAGGCATGAGCGTTATTTTAATTTACGGCCAAAATTATCAAGACAAATTTTGAGTCACATAAAACCCGGCCGGCGTTAACATAATTGTGGCCCGCACTTGGCGGATATTTGATTTAATTGGATAATATACATAAATAATGTGCTAGAATCGACCAGGGCAATGGCATAAATAATCGATAGATGGCAAGCCGCAACTGATCTTTTCGGCCCCAAAAAATGCAGTGACGTAAGATTAGTTAGTGCCACTTATTTGCTCTCTTCTAGCTGTATATTGTTGATCATTTTTTAGTGATTGTAATCCAATACCGATTCTGCAATACGTACGTATATATACCATAATCTACGTCACTGCATTTTTTGGGGCCATCCTCGTATGTCGCGAAATAACGCACAGGGGCGTTATTTATAATAATGGCCCGTATTAAGCTTAATTTAGGCCAAAATTTATAATTTCACCCCTGCGCGTTATTTCGCGACAATACGGTAAGTGTTCGTTAAGAGGCTTTATGTTTAAAATTGATTTTTGTTGTGACTGCGCTATCGATCTGCACTTCACTTTTGAGGGCTGCCCTGGTCACAAGTTATGCCGTGCATTTAGAGAAGTTACATAGAGCATGCACTTAGAGAGGTTTTACTGCGCACTACGCAGATATAAAACACAAAAACTTATAGATAGTTTATTCATTAATTTTTAATTTTATAAACTTACTGTATCTTTTGGTTCTGGATATAACGAACTTTTATATAACAAACTTTGGATATAACACACTCAAAATATTAAAATTTTATATAAAAATTACACGGGTTCTTAAGAAAACAGTAATTTTTTATAATTAATGTTTTTTAGAACCACCAATTATTATAAAAAGAGTAAAAAGGGTTAATTATAATTGTTTTTTTATAACCCAGCTAAATCAAAATTTAAAATTATTAAAATATTTTTTGTTTTAATAATTCTTTATCATATTTTCTTTCACTCGAACTTTCCAGCATTTACTCAACATTGGATTCTTGAAATAGAATACGTAATTGGCCTATATATCGAAGTTACAGTAATGAAAAATCCGAATAACATGTATACAAATAAAAATTACTTTGAAAAGTGGCATATCTTTAGAGGATGGAAGCACGGGTGTAAGGTTTGTGACGAATGCAACCATCATTCACATCTATATTGCAAAGCATGTAAAAAAGTAGCGGATGGAATATATAAGCGATGTGAATGTAATAACGATAATTCTCGAATAATTAACGTAAAAATAAATGGGTTAACAACTTGGTAATGATGGTTTAAACAAAATTTAACATCATTATAACATGTGCTAGAATAATTCGGCATACGTATAAAATTTATCACGCTTGTCATTATGCATAACTAATTTGTGAGACGAGGCACAAGTAGAATTTGCCATTTTCATTTTTCTAGAATTCTAACCAAGTCATGCCACCATACAGATGGAATCATCACTAGGTCGTAAGCGCAAAGCTGACGAAATAGGTGACGAATATGGTTTGAATAAAGTATGGGGGATGGTATTTTATGGAATGTACGCAGGACAGTGAAGGAAAGCTTTCATTTAAGCTATCAAAGCCCTTACTGTTGCGTATGAAGATGAAGATATGAAAGAGAAGACGGAGAAAGTTCTTAGTCATATTATATGGTTATTAGAGGAGGCGCAGAAGCCAATAGAAAGGTCCCAGGGGGGACCAGGAATCGAGGGAAATAAAAAGCAAAGGTCATCGAGTAATCTTGCGAAAAAGGAATATAGGTCTTACGATAGAATAAAATGATCATGTAAATTAGTCTACCATTAGCATAGACATTATGTATCGCAGGCTACGTCCCTAACTTTGTAGCAGATGTAGTACACTGATTTTCTAATACTTCTAATAATTATCTAGAAAAAATCTATTCAATATGTGATTTGAAAAACGTATGAGCAAGAGCAGATTTAGAAGAATATCCGTCAAAAAAACCCTCAAGTTGATTGATATGATTACTAAAAATGTAAAAAAAATTAGTAAATACCGATAATAATAATAATATATCAAAGAAGCTTGCTCCAAATCATTGTTTGAAGTTGCCAATTTGCGTGAAAGCAATACACACCAGACGATACAAAGCTTGTTGCTGTACCTCCCATAGGTCTATGGTAAAATTATTTGGCACTCCAGCAGGAACAACTCCGGGCATGAAAAGTAAGTTCGCGGGGATAGTTATTTGGTAATTTGGCATACCAGCTGCTGTACAGGCGATATCGGTGCTTTGTAAGAAGCCAGTTAACCTACCAGCCGATATACCAGTATTGTTAACAAAAGCTATTGATTTCTTATTTAGTGGTGCTGTTCCGAAAGAAATTGCAAGATTTGGTGTCGTGTTTGCCAATGTTATCATGGGTGATGTATTTGGTGGTGGGTTTGGACCATTTAGTGCCGGATTTGGGACCTGATTGTTGCGTAAGTAGAGGATCGCAAGCATTGCTGCGGTTGAGTTCTGCCGACGATCAAATATCTTTATCGCTAAATAGACTTGAGTAAGATTGGTCTGTGCATTAGCTGAAAAGTAATCTACCGTCAGACTATTCAAACTGTTGAGAGACTCGGTTCTTGCTACTTCTATAATTAACGTTGGTTGCAGTGCGGATCCGGGTGTAGGTGGCGGAGTTTGTTTTGGTTCGGCTGCAATGTCAGTACAAAATTCACTGGTATCACCAACGGTAATGTCCAACTCACTATAACAGTCAGCCGACATGTCGGAGAGTTTATATGTTAGATTTGCATACTTATTGATCAAATTAATAGACGTACCTAAAT